TAATTAACGTACACGTAATTTTGAGTGTTTTGGAGCTCACACTGTGTACTGTAAACTAAACCAAAGCAATGGTTGGACAATAATAGTTGAGGAGGAATTAATGTGTCTAGATGCAGGAAAATAAAATATTTGAGAGATAGAATATTTGGTGTAAATGTATCCTTTTATCACATGGATATATATGATCAGTGTCTGTGCGTACTAGAAACACGAGTTTGGTTAGTTTCATTTCTGTTTTGACTCGTGTCTGTTGATATGCATACGGAGCAGTTTTAACATGGTACCTCTTACCTCCTCTTTTCACATGAGAGGTAAGAGTATAAAATAGATCTTAGCCGTTTATCTTATGAATTAGTACCTTGATTAACTCTTATCTTCTTACCTCACATGTAAAAAGAGGGGTCAGAGGTACCATGCTAAAATTTGTCATGCATACGACATATGTGCATTCAGTGCATTTTCTTGAGATGATGTTATAATTAGTCCCAGTAACATCTAGTTTATTACAGGGCAGCAAAAAATTGGACCAAACTATGAAAGAGTCAACTCAGAAGGTGGTCACAGGGACAACCATGTTCATATCATATCACAGGTTAAAGATGATTTAAAAGAGGCCCATGGTTCTCATGGTGAAGAGAGTAGAAAGAAGGTCATGATGACACATGAGCCAATAATTGGTAAGGATCTGAGGAGACAACCATTGTCACATGGGTTACAAGCTAATAATTATGTGGAAGAAAAAAATGCTGCGCATAGAACAAAAATCGAAGAAAATCTGAATGAAATATCAGTGCCATATGGGTCAGAGAGTGACAACAATTTTAAGAAAGTTTCATTAAATTTGAAGAAGATCCTTGCAGCATATACAACACTGTAAGATGAAAACCTTAAGGAAATATCAGTGTCATACGGATCAAAAGTTGGAGAAGCCCACGAAAAAGTTTCAGGGTCATATAGGTTAGAAGGTGAAAATAATTCAAAAGAAATATCTCTGTCTTATGGTATAAACAGCGATGATACTCCAAAGGAAGAATTGGCACATGAAGAAAATGTAAAGGAAATCTCAGTGTCATATGGGTTAGAAGGTAAAAAGTGTTTAAAGAAAGTTGCACTAAATTTAAAGAAGATCCTTGCAGCCTACACACCTTGGGAAGATGGAAATCTAAAGGAAATATCTGTGTCATATGGATCAAAAGGCCAAAAGATTTCAAAGGAAGCATCAGGAATATCTGGGTTAAAAGGTCAAAAGGATTTAAAAGAAATCTCAGTGTCTTATGGTGTTGATGACCGTGAAAATCTGAAGGAAAGATCTGTGTCATACGGATCAGAAGATCAAGAAACTCTGAAGGAACACTCAGGATCATATGAGTTAGAAGGTGAAAAGGAGTTAAAAGAAATCTAAGTGTCTTATGGTGCAGACGGCCATGAAAATCCAAAGGAAATATCGGTAACATATGGATCAAAGGACCAAGAAATTCGCAAGAAAGCATCAGGATCCTACGGGTTAAAAGGTGAAAGGGATTTAAAAGAAATCTCAGTGTCTTATGGTGTAGACGGCCAGGAGATTCTAAAGGAAGGCTCCACATCACACGAAGAAAATTCAAAGGAAGTCAGTATGTCATATGGGTCAGTTGAAGAGAAAGATGAACAAGCCGACGTTCTGAATCAAGGTGAATATCATTTTTTTACAAGGAAGTAGAGTTCATTATTTTATTACATACAACCTCTCAATTGAGTTTTTGCCATTGTACCTGTTGCAGTAAAAGGAGAGGGGAGCCACCATGTTCACGCTCACAGCTACAAGAACAAGAAAGAGGCGGATGTCTTTTTCTTCCACGACATGTTGAGGCCAGGGTCCTTGATCACTCCGACCATCCCGCCGACCGCCTCCATGCCGGCGCTTCTCTCCGGTGACGTCGCCGACTCCATCCCATTCTCCACGGAACACCTCTCCGACATCATCACGATGTTCGCGCCGGCGTCACTCACGATGACCAGAGAGATACGGTGGACGCTGGACACTTGCGAGCACCCACGAACGCTCCCCGGCCAGAAAGCAGGCTGCGCCACCTCCTTGGAGTCCCTCGTCGAGCTGCCGGCGTCCCTCCTTGGGAGGGGCAACGTCCGTGCGTTCTCCGCCGTGGATCTTCCCATGGATGGCCCGGGGACACCGGCGCTTAGGGGGAGGTACAACGTGACGGCTGCACGGAAGCTCTCCGGTTCATCATCTGAGGTCGTGACCTGCCATGACCTGACCTACCCGTACTCAGTGTACTACTGCCACACGTCCAGGCCTACGTCTGCGTATATGGTGACGCTGGCGAGTGTGGAGGAGGGTGCATCTCCGACGACGATGGAGGTCATGGCCGTGTGCCACCTTGACACGTCATTGTGGAGCCCGAAGAACTCGTTCTTTGAGCTGCACAACGTTAGGCCAGGTGATGTGGCAGTGTGCCACTTCCTCACTAAGCTGAGCATCATCTGGGTGACCGTGGATGAGCATGCCGACGCACGGTAGAAGGGAGTGCTCACGCCCGGCCGCACCTACTTATCTGCTCATGTTAGCTATATATGGCCTATGGCATGAATACGATGTAGACTGATTGACGTGTATCGAGATATGTGGTATGAGATAATTGAGTGTTGCCATCCGTGAGATCTTAGTCAAATTCTTATGTCTGATAGAATTCTGGTTGTACGAAAGAAGGCGACTGAGTATAGCGTTTGAGGAAAAACGTTGCAACCTGGTGAATCTATATTTTTACACTTGGAAAACCTACACTTGCACTATTACACCGTAGGCGATGTAGAAAAGTATCCACTCATCCAACAACCTGCGTCCATAATCGGTTGGCCATCTATGTGTCATTGACGGGTGGTCATGTACAAAGAACAACAGAAGTAAAAAATTAAATGCAGGTCTGTAGACAGGCGAGCGACGATTACAAGCAATGAAACGAGCTGAAGACGCGTCGCCGTCGTCCACCCCAAAGCTAGACAAATCTTGTTGTAGTCGGCTATCGGAAAATCGTCGTGCAAAGGCACCAAAAGACCTGTGCACCAGAACAACAGCCGTGGTCGATGAAGAGAAGGGTAGACGATCTAACTATACGAACGAAAACCGGATCCAAGTTGATCCACAAAAGGCAAACACTGACCAAATCCCACGACATGCACCGGGGACACACACCCATTGGTTGGTTTCATGATCCTCTCTTGTCGAGTCAATAGTTCTTCTCTATAGCGCGGTTGAGGAAGTTGGTCCCTGAAAATGAACTTGTTGCATACGTGCAACTTCATTGGACGAACGAGAAGCTTCACTGTGAGTTATGTGAGCGGACCTCCTCGTAAACATCTAAATTTTTTTCCAGTCCCATAGATTGATACACAAGTGAACCTAAGTTAACCATATGACTAAACTCCACTAGAAACATCCTGAAATCCATGCTCATCTAAAACTTTCGATCAAGACCTTGCAAAACCTAAACATGGCAATGCTAAGCCTGTAGAGCAAAGATTTTATGAAAAAAAAAGTTTGGGATGAGAATGAAAACATACCGTAAATTGTTTAGGCGGAAGTATTCAGATTGAAAATGATTAGGGAGAAAGATCTAGCAAGAGCATCTACAACTGGACGACCAATATCCGCCTCAACGGACTAGCGGCTTGCCCGGTCAGTGTCTGAAAAATTCCCACCCAACCGATTGCTCGAATCACAGCCGGGACACCCGGGCTGACCAGTAACCCATATATCCAACCCATATGTGGGGTAGATATGGGGATGCCCAAACGCGCCCGCCATGTAGGATCCGACCAACTATGGCCCACCCGACCCCACATACATTCAACGCTATCTGCACCCAGGACGAAATCATAGCCGCATTCCACTCCACTGCAGTTTACTCCTCTCCGCCCCTAGCTCTTCTCCGACGAATTCCGGTCGTCTCTGGCATGGCAGGTAGTGGATTTGACTCTGAACTTGTCCCTTGCTGTCACAAGGAGGGTAGGGCGGTCCGTGCCAGTCTCCATCGCTCCCGGGAGGATTGTGCGCGACCGCGGATGCATTCCTTCTGGTGGGAATCCATTGTGTTCGCGAAAATGGTGATTGTATTTGTCAGGACTCATTGTGGGAGGCGATGTACCCCTGACTTGCCGGAGGCAGTGCAGACCGTCGGGTGCCCGAACACTACGATGTCGGCGCAACCCATTTGGTTGTGCGTCGTCCCGCGGGATCCGGCTCCAAGCTAGAGTTAAACGGCGGCATGGTGTGCGGCACGGACGCTACTGAAACGAGGAGTGCCCGCCGTGCAAGCCACCAAGCACGGATGGCCACACATGCTCTCCGGCCGAGGCTAAGGAATCGGAGGCGCACGCCGGCGGGCCCAAACACCCGGCCACGCCCGTGTTAGTCATTGTATTTACATATGTTAACCATGCATTTAAAATTTATTAAACAATATATAAAAAAGTCTTGATGTACATGAAATTTTTTGACATAAAAAATATATCTTAAAATACAAAAAATGTACAAGGTGTATGAAAAAAATAAACAGCATAATATATATTTAAGAAAATATTACTCAAGTATTTAAATTTTTTAAACATGCATAAAAACTGTTTTTATGTATTAAAAATGTACATTTGATCTGGAAAAAAGGGTAGACCTTTCTTTAAAAAAGCCAAAGGATACCATTGAACACAATTAAAAAAATGAAGAGAGATAAATAATCAAAGATAATCAAAGGAACGAATAAAAAGAAATATAAAAACCCATAAAATTCACTGAAAACCGAAAACAAACAAAGAGAACTGAAGAAAAAATGAAAATGAAAATGAAAAAGGAAATCCTAAGAATGAACGAGAAAGAAACAAAGAAATAGACAAAAAAATAACGAAGAGAGCGACAGAAATCCAACTCGGTGCCCAGGCTCATCTGCTCCCGCTCGGAAAAAACTCAAAACAAATACTAAAAGAATTCAGAAAATCCAGTCTGTTTTGTGTGGTAGATAATTTGATGCGTGAGGTGCGCTCCAAACTTCAACTTATTTGGACATCTGAGCAGCTCTCGGCAAAAAAGAAAAATCAGGTCTGAATAGTGCGTGAACAATAAACTCTTTTATAGACCCTGAAATTGTTTTTTTCTGACAGCCGATCAGATGTCCAAATGAGATGAAATTTGGAGCGGACCTCACGCATCAAATTATTTATCACGCAAAAAAATTGAATTTATTTGAATTTTTCTTCTATTTATTTTGATTTTTTTCTGAACGCGGGTGCAGATGAGCACGGGAGCAGAAACTCGGCGTCAAGCGAGTGAAGCGAACACGTCCAGTGATATAGCTCCGGAGATGGACGAAAATGGGCCGGCCCTGTGCTGTAACGGGCAGGAAAAAAAATTCAGACCAAGGGAGCTCGCTATAGCGAGATATAGCTGCCGCGATGCAGGTTTCTCAAAAAGTAAAAATTGCTGCAGCGATGCAGAACGTTTAAGAGAAAATTATGTAAAGGCTGGTAAGCTACCGGCGACGGAGCGTTTTACGTCTGGCTCACCCAATCAAATTAACTTTTTGGGTGTGTCTAGAGCATATCTAGATGTGCTCTAATTATTGCACATCTAAATGAGTGAATCAAGCATAAAAAGGAAAAGAAAAAAGAGAAATAAAATATTCACACGAATCTCAATATAAGATGAGTGACATATGACTTAGATGTGCAATACTTATGGCACATCTAGATGTGCTTTAGCAAACTATAACTTTTTATGCACTCGCGTGACCGTTCAGAAAAGCAGGCAAATCCTAGGTCAAAAAACCTACTAGGTATAATTATTTTTTGGTAGATTTAAAGAAAATCTTGATTCACACAATGTTGACAGATTCAAAAAATATCATGACTTTTTAAAACCTTTAGTTACACTCTTATGGATTTTAAAAATACTCATGATATTTTTTACAATTTTAAAAACACTCACACGAAATATTCGCGTGAAATCAGTAACATAGAATTAGATGTACAATATTTAGGGCATATCTAGATGTGCTTTAGCAAAACTGTTATAAAGTATATTCAGGAAAGGCAAACGTTTTCAACCGGCGGAACGGCCGAAGCTTCGGCCGGTCGCATGGGGCGCTTTCGATCGAATGGGATCCAACAAACTATTTTTCTACTCGGGGTACAGCTGGACTAGGTCATGTGACCCACTCTCCACCAAACATTCCTTATCCTTTTCTTCTTCCTTCCTCTTCCTCCGTCTGCATCTAGACTTCACCGCTGCTTCTTTTTCCTCCCATAGCAACCCCTCGCAAGCTGCTGGTTTTCTGCGTTGGAAGCGGTGGTGCTGAATGGCAGCCACCTCATGGCCGAGCCTCCGCTCCCCCTCGTTGTTGCCTGCGCACACACTGCTGCGAGGTCAACGCTCATGACGATGCAGCATCGCCATGGACGTGCCCACAGAGCTTTGCTTTTTCTTTTACGGAGTGCCGCAACCGGTCATGTGAGATGCTACATCCGCCGTGAGGGATGCTACAACCCATAAACTTTTTTGCTGAAACCAACTACTATATTTGTCGCTGATTCTTTCTTTGCTGGAACCAGTGTTTTGTTTTGCTACCACCGGTGACATGGTTTGCTACCACCATACGCAGCGACCGGCCGACGTCAATTTTTTTCTTGCTACAACCGTGTCTTTTTTTTTGCTGCAAACGGCAGCCACAGAATCTACAATCGGTTAACGTTTTTGCTACAATGACGATGACGGGCGGTGCTGGCGAGCTTTTAATTCGCTGGAACCATTACCCTTTTTTGCTACAACCGTTCGTTCTTTTTGCTGCTACCGACACCCCGACAGAGAGTACAGTTTCTTGCAAGTTCATCGTCGGAAGTGCTGCGACCTACAACCACCGCACACCGGAGCTGCGTCCACCGTCATCAGAGCTGCGACCGTCATCTCGGGGAGCTGCAACTACGTGGACATGCTGCTGCATGCACGGAGCCGACGACAAACACATGAGATGACGACGGCGAGGGGCGGCGACCAGCGGTGAGGGCAGCCACCGGCGGCGACCAGCGAGACGCGCCAGGTGGTGCTTCTAGGACGGGCGCCTCGCTCGTCCATGGCGGCGCTATGGGGCTGATTCCCAAGGAAGAAGACACAGGGGAAGAAGGAAGGAGACCCTGCAGTTCTAAATTGCTTAATTTTGCTACAACCGTTGTTTTCTTTGCTGGAATTAGTCTACTTTTTTGCAACGATCTACCACTGAATCTCTCCCAGTTCGAGTTTGTTTTCTGCTGGAACCGGTGCTTAATTTTGCTACAATCATTGTTTTTCCTGCTGGAACTAGTCTACTTTTTTTGCTACAATTGACCACTGAATCCTCAGCTGAGTCTGCTTTTTTGCTTTCACCATGTTCTGTTTTTGCTGGATCTTGTCATTGTTTTTGCTTCCACCATGTTCTGTTTTTTTACGCACAACATTCAGAATTATGACCGGGGGGCGTCGACGGGCTGCCGCCGGCGAGT